AAAAAAAAATGTAAATAATGATCCCCTTTAAAAATATACTATCAACTTGAAGTATATTTTTAAAGGGGGTCATTATTTACATTTTATTTTGGTTGTTGACACTTTTAAGATGAACACAGGTTTTTTTATCAATCTGGCCATATTTTTTCTTCCAAGGTCTGATACTCGTGCCTGTGCATTATAATAAAAGCTTACTGCTTAGGGTTGAAGACATGTAATTGACATATATTAGACATAAAAGAGGACCTAAAATGAACATCAGGGGGACAGCATAGGTACTCAGAGCAGTAGTAGAATGAGTACCAGCCACATCAACCAGCTACTATCAGAGATAAGACTTAAACCATGTAAGAATGTCATTATATATGGCAGATGCTTGAAGTTTCATGAAAAACCACTTCTAAACCCTGACTGAAACTGCCTGACCATGACTCGAACCCATGACTTTCAGAAGACCAACTGAGCTATCCGGCCTGCTACACATTTTCTCTTTAATAATGAAACAGTTCTAAACCACAACATATTTCCCCACTATATCGATTTGTGTTCGTGAATTTCTTATGTTACAGAGCATAGGAAATTGAACTCATGCTTATATGCAGTCACAGGATGAGAAAAACTTTGAGCTTGACCAGAACTCAAACCTGTGACCAACATAAGAAATTTTATGAAGGCTGATTTGTATTTTGCATCAAGGGCACCGGGCAAAAACATGAAAATGCAACAAACAAACCACTTTGTGGTAGATTGTATTTTCATGTTTTCATCTGGCGCCCAGTTACTTTTTGTACTATGTTGGTTTTCATGTGGCACAAATCACCCACTATAAATTTAGTGCACAAATTTATTCAAGGGCAAGTAACAATCTACTCTATGTACAGTCTGTTGTCCGGTTGACTCAGGAGACCTGGAGGTTGAGACCGGTGTCCCTTCATTACAAATAGATAAGACAGAAGCTGTCCTTTTCAAACTATGCACATGTTAGAAAAAAAATAGAATAACTGTTCAGAATATGATTTTTTGAGACTTTATTAATTATATTGCTTGATCCAAGTTTAAGGACATTTTCAATCAATACATGTTTTATCATTTATAACTTTAAATGAAAGTCTCATCCCTTTAATAATAATGACATAACTGTATCTCTTTAAATGCAGAAAAATTATAAGTCTCAACATATCAATATACTACTGTCTAAGATAAACATGTATGCACATAACATTAATAATTCCCAGTTTATATTAAATAAATATGAAATCATAACATTAACATTAACATGCTTTTGATGACCTTACAACTGGTGAATTATATACAACAAAAATAGTAGTATAAGTAATACCTAAGATAGACAGAAAAGAACAAATAATTTAGTAAACATGAGTTACTTCCCCTTACAATAAAGAAAACCTGAAACCCAAAAGAACACCCTAAACAGCAAAATTATGAAATGCTGCAGGTTCAGTTTTATCAAGCCATGCAAATTAATGGTAAAGTATTCATAAACAAGAGCTGTCCGTAAGACAGCGCGCTCGACTTTTTTATTGCTTGCCAATAAAAAAAGTTTTTGCAGTAAAAGGCAATACAAGAATCTCTGTATTTTTAAAGTGAACTAGTTGTTTGATACCCTTGAATATTACAGCAATGTTTATATGACATAATTTATGGTAAAGTGAACAAGTGGATAGGAATGAATTTTTTTAGATTTTTTAAGTTTTTTAGTGCTTGCCTATAATACAAAACATTGACAGTTAAGGGCCATAATTCAAATAAAAACTTTGACAGAATTACCTTCTCCTGGACATGTTTGGGAATCATGATTGTAAACAAATATTCCAACTTTCAAATTAATATCTCAAACAGTTCAGTCAAAAAGTGGACTGGTACTAAAAACTTAACCAAGATTCTAAGTCGATAAAAGGCCTTAATTTTTAAAACAAATCCTTGACAGAGTTACCTTCTCTTGCGTACAGATGGGGGTAATGATGTGAAATAGCATTAAAAGTTTCAAAGCAATATCTCAAAGGGTTAAGGCAATAAGTGGATTTTACCCATATTCAATGTATTTTCTATGTCAAAAAGGGGCATAATTCTGTCAAAAACCTTGACAGAGTTATGTCCTCTTGTCTGTTGATGAAGGTCGTGATGGTAAACAAGTATGGTCAGTTTCAAAGCAATACCTCCAATGGTTTTGAAATAAAGTGAGGTGGTACAAAAAACTTAACCAAGCTCAATACACTTTCTAAGTCAAAAAAGGGCCATAATTCTGTCAAAAACCTTGACAGAGTTATGTACTCTTGTCTGTAGATGGAGGTTATGATGGTGAACAAGTATGGTAAGTTTCAAAGCCATACTTGTAATACTTCTGAAATAAAGTGGGGTGGTACGAAAAACTTAACCAAGGTGTGACGCCAACGCCGACGCCGACGCCGGGGCGAGTAGGATAGCTCCCCTTTTCATAGAAAAGTCGAGCTAAAAAATAGATGGCCATGTGTCAGCAGTAATTGCAGAAAATCGGATAGCTTTCAACATCCGGATACTGGTACACTTTGTAAAAACAACCATTCTGCGCAACAGATAAATGTAATAAGGATAAAATCAATAGGATAATCGTTTACAACAGTTCCATTACCTATCCTTATACTCAATTGCAGGTGAACTTTCTTCTTGTAGGAAAATTTTGAAAATGTATAAATGAATGAATGAACTGATACGGCCTCAATCTAGACCACAACGATATTCGAAATCCGGGTTTTAGTATTGTCATTAAAACTAAGGGACAAGCTGTTAAACTTAACCTGCAATTTCGTGAAAATAATATCACAATGCACATGCTTTTTACATAAAGTTATTAAATACAAATATAACAACACATTTGTTTACTTGATTTTTACGAATCAAAATAAAACTAATTAACACAACATGAAATTAACTGCTAATAATAACAGCTCCTTCCATAGGCAAAAATAAAAAGCATTCCATAATAGACGACGCCGCTCACCGGCGTCGCCAATAAAACAGTTTTCTGAGTCGGAAGTACAACACAATCTTACAAAATGTAACATCACATACTTTAAAATACACTCAAGCGCGTTCTAACACAACCGCACGCGCACGCTTCTCATGCATTCACATTCTTAAAATAGATGTTATTAAACACGAATGATTTAACCACAAATTAAAAACGTCTATACAAAAGTAAATAGTAAATCAAACTTAATAATAGTAAAGAAACGGTGATATTACACATGGAAAATTAATTAAAGAATTTATGATATTAAATCACTTTGATGTCTAAAGGCGTATTTTCCATCGTACATTTCATGTATTCATTGTCAGACTATGTATTTACTAAAAGGCTTAGGAGATATATAATTGTAAGTTAACGAATAGCGTCTTGAAAAATCACAGCATTTCACAGAATTCTGTTAATATAAAAGATCCTTTAACACTATTTCTCATGGTTTTAAATCATAAATATCATGCTCAAATTAAGATTTATCAATATTGTAGGTTCCAAAAAGCATTATTTATCAAGATATTACCGAATTTAACATTTCATGTCAATAAAGGGAGGTAATAAAAAATGTTATTTTCTATAAAGTTTGAGTCAAATTTTACAATAAGAAATCCATGCATATTTTTTAATGATTACATACAATATGCACAAATATTTACAGTACATATTTTACATATTCTTCGATGTTTGAAAATTCTTTTATTTGCATAATTATGTATATATATATAATTTCACTTAGTGTGGTTTACCACTTTGATCCTTTAATTAAAATATATTGCTATGGAACGCCGCCTTTGCGCAATTGCGAATATTGTTCTTGATTTATGTTTTTTATATTAATTAATATTATTTATTTCCTTTTTCGAGAGGGGATGAAAAGGGTGAAAGGGGGAGGTTCGACAGTCTTTCCGCTCTGCTTTATTAGCCGTTACCAAAAGACATCATTTTACTACCGGAAACCTATGAACACCCTGGTCAGCATACGGAGTAGTTTCATAACTCCTGAACTCCTTCGTCTATATCACTCAAACATGGTTCACTTTTTAATTGAAATACAAGTAAACTTGAAACTTGAAAACTTGATTTAACGCCTATTTCTACATATAGAATACATATTCAATGACGTTGTACAGCTATATACCTTATATGTGCTACTCCCAGTGCTACCATACACAATACTCCCAGCAGTGCGACGGTCACAGTGATTGGGTCAATCCCAACCAACATGTAACAATCTACACCCCTGCACCCCTGCACATGATAACACATGGGCTAGACTTTATTATATTATTGTACAATGAAAACAGTAAAAACTGATAGAAATATACAAACATGCACAAAACAATTAGGAACAGACAATGCCTTCAGCGTCACTTAAAAAAGTGCAAAAAAGTCCTTGAAGTAAAGTGATTTCAAATCGAAATACAAGTATTCTGTATTAAATTCTATACGCTTGTATATTTAGTAACGAAGTTGTCCGGTTACGCGCATATTTTACTGAAATTGAGACCAAATCTAAAAAAAATCAGTTTGAAAGAGTTTTTCAAATACGAAGTGTGATTCATTTACCTATTTCAATAAAAATATTATCTAAGTACACTTAAGATTTTACAAAAATTGTATTGTACATTCAGTTTTCACGGCCTACACATGTAACCGACCTTAATCACGCCGACGTCAACGACCTTCCATAATATTACATTGTACACTCAATTGATTAAATAAAGAATGATGCGTAAAGAAATTACAATTATATACGCTTTATGCCAAAAGACAATGGAAAAAGAACAACAAAAACACACACAAAAAATTCAACAACAAAAAACAAGGAAGCAATATATCAAAAATTTGATATCAATAAGAACAAAGTGACATGTTACACCTTGTTATTTTTTCATCTCGAATAATGAAAAGTTAATAGTTTCTTTATGGCCTTACACAGCCAAAATTACATCATACTTAATTTTGCTAATAGCCGGCGCAGCGGTGTACAGACAGGTGTACTTTATTGTCTTTTTTAACAAGAACTTCCGACTAGAAACACACGATAATTAATTGTCATATAGCATACATATATGTGATTTACCATTTGTTATTCTGACATTGAGCTAAACCATGTATTAATTAATGATATGTGATTGATCAGTGCTGTTAACATTTATGTGAAGCATTTAACGTTATTTCATAATTGAAAGTAGGGAAATTCACTTAAGACAAAATGCATCTTGCGGTTAGTACGTGTCTTTTAATTCTTACGATCTGCACTTGTGGAATTAATGCTTCAAATGAACAGATATTTGCTCCAGGTAAATACATAGCGGGTTTTTTTTATTATTATTACAATTTTGAAATATCATTTAATTTTGAGTTTATTGTTATTCAAAGGCATAGTAAGCATCAAAATATTTTTTTCTCCAATAAAAAGGAAACATGCGTTTTGTAATTTTTTCATAATTCATTGTACATTTAGAGTATATACGATACTCATCGTGTGAAAGAAGAACCGTTGATTATAAGTAATATGTTATCAAAGTAGTAAAATGTTCCCAAAGTGTTTTTTACGTCTTCCATACAAAATACCAAATCTTTTATTTTCGTAACCGTCAAAAAGCACCAATATGACCAATACATTCGTTAAATAAACTGTATAAACAGGAAAAAGTTTTTGAAAAATAAAAATTATATTATTTTCTTGGGCTGAATAAGCTTTTAATATTGCACGGTAGATGTGACACAATTTTAAAACCAAGGCTACAGAAAAGCCTTATTGCGTACATTTGTGTTACTAAACACATGCAAATTTGTGGCTCAGAGACAATCTTTATGTTATCGTATGTTTTTTTTTCGTTCCAGCTATCCCAAGTACAGGAGGAGGAAATGGTGGATGTAAGTTTTACTTTAATTCTTATTTCTTCGTTAAGACATACTTCTGCAGACCATCACCTTTTGGGGAAAGAAATATTTTGGATATAGCTAATGTATTGTATTAATAATATACAATCAAGAAGAACCTGATGTTGCTGGTATTTGATGTGCCTTGAACTGTTTTAGCCCCAGCAATGATAACACTATATCTTTTCTACCGGGACTGTTGTGGCACAGAGGTGACATATTTGTGTTTTTATTTCTCTCGTGCGCTCTAGATACTATGTCGTGGCCACAAGTTACTATGTCGTGCGCACAAGATAATTAATCGTACGACTTAGTTACTCGTGGCCATGACATAGTACATTGTGCCCACGACTAAATTATCTTGTGCCAACGACTTAGTAACTCGTGGCCACGGCACAATATCATGTGCCCACGACTTAATTATCTCTTGTATACGACTGAGTAACTCGTGGTCACGACATAGCATCCCATGCGCACCACTTAATTATTTCGTGCGCACGACCAAGTAACTCGTTGAAACGACATAGTATCTCGTGCGCACGAGATAAATAAAAACACACACATATCACCTCTGTGCCACCGTACGGGACAGAGCTAGACCAGTGTGTCTGACCGGACCAGTCCACCCCGTGCATGGGTATGCGGTGTGATCTGACCAGATCAACCAGTATGACCGGACCAGATCAGCCTGTGCAATCCTGTATTGTGACATAACCTTCAACTTTATTATAGTATTTAATTCCATTTATGATATTTAGCGTGGTTAATTACAGACTCCCTTCAACTACAAATGAACATTCCCAAATTCAAAGAAGGAAATTTTCATTTTCACAAATTCATTAGGGGTAAAAATTAAATGTTGGCACAATCTACAACAAAATAAAGTTATGAAGGATCTACGTCTTTAGTAACAAACTTGTTGTCCGAAAGGAATAATTATTTAACATATTGCCATTGCTCGCCTTGTTTAGATTGATACCTTTCATGTGTGCTATTTTAGAGGACACGTTGAAACGTTTGAAATATTTATCTTTTGTTTTGTACATGTTCTTTCATATTTTTCAATAAGTTGTTTCTTTGAGGTTATTATTCCAGCTGTTTTATGCACATTGTAGTTATTTTGAAAAGTAACTTACTTCACTATTTATTGAAAACATAAATATTTGAGCATGAACGATTTAAAAGGGAGACAATCGTGTGTAACCTTAACCACTTAAATTTATTGAGTTGTCTCCCGTGTATCATGTCTAGTGCTCATTTTCTTTTCATTTCCAGTCGGTCCGGGTGGCTCTCTGGCGGACATGTATTGTGCGTATTGCAGACAACGAGGCTGGACCGATTGTATCCGAAGATACTGTTTCGGAGGATTTGGCGCGTTCGGGATCGTAAATCAAGCGGGTTTCATTTCCAGTTTTCAGCCCCAGGAACGTTTTATTTTCAATGACGACCCTAAGTTTTATCTTCGTTTGAAATATCTATATGATAATTGATAGGTACTCACCATTCTTGTTTTAAAGACTGAGGTTATTCTAGCAGCTCATCATTATCAACAACAACAACACCACCAACGACGACGACGACGACGGTGATAGAAGCCTTTAAGAATCTTTTCGTTACACTTTACATATAATTCATTGGCGCTTAAGTTACATTGACATTTGTATATTTTAAAGCCATGTATTATTTTTAATTGACAAAAATATATTTGTACTTTTTTTCCTTCATTTAAAAATGTATACCATTTTATATTTCTCCATTGGATTAAAACAATATATATCTGTTTTATGCATTTATGATGTAATTGTTCACGAATACTTCATTATATTCATTTATGAAGCTTTACGAAACATACTATGCATTTTCAAGAGTCTATATTCTATATATAACTGTGTGTGTGTTACATGTACATAAACATTGTTTTGTTTTAAGATATATAATTATGCTTGATTGTAAAACACATGTACGCAGAATAAATTACATATCAATCACATTCAAGTCGACTTCCTGGAACAAAACAGAACTAGTGTCATATGACTGAGGAAATCTGTTCGTGGTCGGGGTTGGGCTCAAACCCCAGATCCCTGGGTTAAAAACACACAAAAAAAACTTTAACGACTAGACCTACGGACGCATAATTTACTTAGTTTATTTAGTATATTATAGTATTTACCTTTCCTATACACATATGGACAATTTCATCAATAATTAAGATATTATATCTGTACTTATGTTTAAAAAAGAAAGTTTCAGCTATTCTAAGCCGAACTTTTCGGTCTTGGCTAATGATTAATGGTAATATATGAGAAGTTCCGAATGTCACATTGTAAGCAAAACAATGCACGGAAATTCGGTTATTAACAACATTGAATCATCCAAAGAAAAAGCTATAAAAGAAACACTCAAAATCTTAGCACTGGACAACGCCCCTCTGTTAAATCCTTAAACACATGTACATAAAAGAACGACAGAGAGAGATTTCATTAAAAATGATAAGCTAAAAGAAGAAGAAGAAGAAGAAGAAGAAGAAGAAGAAGAAGTAGAAGAAGAAGAAGAAGAAGAAGGAGAAAGGAGTCTATGATACTTGAACAATATTTGATGCCGATCACTCTGTTGGTGTTGTATCATGTCAAGTAATGTTAACGTGCTAAATGAATAAATGAATGAATGAATGAATGAATGAATGAATGAATGAAAGACCAGCATAATTTTTATGTCTTTATAACTGACATTTTCCATAAAGCGCTTTGATAATTTCATTTTTTCATTTAGGACTGAATCATAAAATCTGAAAACAAAACATGTACTTCTTAAACGCATGACTTTTTGAATGACCATGACTTCTAATTAACAAAATGTAGATACATAAATATTAACACCATATCAGGTTTCCCGGTTTTATTACTGGGCACTCAATTGTGAAAAATGACAAGTTTTAATAATGGAGTCATGTCACGGTCACATTATACCGGTATTTGTAAACGTTCACTTTTAACTTAAACGTTATTAAACATATCTTTAAAACCTTTAAATGGAATCAATGCGAAAATATATTTGTGTTTTCGAAGGAACTTAAACTAATTTCTTACAGCAAATTCTAAATTTTCTGTAACCATGGAAAAGACGATGTGTGACCCTTGTAAAGCCAGGTCAAGGTCACTGGCCGCTTCATACTGGTGTCCGTTTTGTCGTGAGGCATTTTGTAAGGTGTGTTGTCAGTTTCACCAGACGATGAAATTGACCCGCAGCCACAAAGTTCACACACTTAGTGACCTTAATCCGCACGACAGGGAGCGCGACAGTTCTGGGCAGAGTTTTCGACTCGAAACCCTGACCCCAGTCACCTTCAACGAAAAGACACAGCTACGTGAAATAGACAATATTTTAGTTTTTATGGACGGATTGAGTGACACGAGCCTAACACTGAAGAAAATGTTCTTTGATTTGAAATTGCAAAACGAATCTGAAAAGAATGAATGCTTGAGAAAAGTGGCACTGTTTAAGCAACGATTAAAACAATTAGCAGACGATTTCGAGCGTCACATTTCCGGTGAGCTTGATTACATTCACCATGCAGAGAACGTTCAAGTTGATTCCAGAATAGAAGAATGTGAACAGATCTTCAACGCTCTTGAACTGTCGAAAGACTTAGCGCAAAGCGTAAAAACAGAGTATATAACTCCGCAGACGATAAGTAAGGTGAACTCTGCACGACAACGGTGTAATGAGTACAAATTTTCTTTACAAAGAATACACAGTCGTCTGCAACCGGTCAAATATAACCTAGCTATTGATCGTAACGTTTCTGATGCGCTCAACACCACGCCGGGTGTTATTGGTAAGATAGAAACAAGTCATGAGAACGATGACCTCTTTGAAGACTCTGACGCCAAACAAAACAGACGCGAAAGCATCGTTTCAAATAATATGGCGCGTGCTTCCGGCTCAATGGGCAGGCCACAGACGTTTCTTTCGAATTCCGAGCATGCGCAGAAAGTCAATGAAATATATCTTCAACGAAAAGATGATCATGACGAACTTATGATTACGTCAATTTGTGCACTGAATAATAACCATTTCATAACTCTCGATCGCAATAACAACAAGTTACTCCTTGTACACCAAGACGGTACCATTGTGACGTCATACGTGTTTACGAATCAAATTTGGGACATGGCGTTAATTGACTCTCTTACGGTTGCCGTCACCGTACCAGATAATGACAAGATTGTTCTTGTGAAGGTGAGAAACAAGAACCTTTGCGCGGAGCGCTTAATTAAAACAAGCAATATATGCTATGGAATTAGTTCCATCGAAGGATTCATGGTTGTGACAGTTAAGGGTGGCTACGTCAAAATTGTGACAAAAGCCGGTGAAGAAGTGGCATCAATACGTCATAATTCACGCGGAGAAGTCCTGTTCACAGATCCACAACACATAGCAACAAATCGTGAACAAAATGAGTTGTATGTGTCGGACTATACGTTACACACCGTAACAGCCTTGTTCCTGACTGGCGTGAAGATTGACACACAGCCGAAATTTGTCTTCCGGAATAACGAGCTACAAAATCCCACAGGACTGTGTTTGGATGTCCAAGGCTACGTGTACGTTTGTGGGTACTCCTCGCACAATGTTCTTAAATTGTCGTCTGACGGTCAACTTTTACAAGCGTTACTAACAGGTATCATGAATCCGCAGACGGTCGCTTTAACGACAATGGAAGACCAGTTATTGGTATCAAGTCTCAGCACCGGCGGAAAGACGAAACATATGCAAAATGTGATAGAAGTATTCCGAATGTGACAAATATGTAGTTTTCAGTTAATAATTCTGGATGTATAAAATTTGTCTTTTGATGTTTTATAGAAAGTTGCTGATTTTCTTTTATAACATGCATACCGGTATCTAATAGAAGTTGCGAATGTACTCTAAACTAGTGGTAAATTTATATTATGCAAAACTATAATTGTGAAAACAATATATGCCTTTATTTAGTTTATAATAAAAAAATGATGAGAAGACATTCTAAACAGAATTTCGCTTGGGTCTGTTTTTTATTAGATAGAAAAAGAACTGTTATATCTTTGAGAAAAGGAAAAAAGTCTCTATATCGGTTAGTCCGGAACACCTCGCCGAATGCTAAACATCCTTGGAAAGAGATGAAAAGTTTTTTTTCGTCCCTCAAATGTACACATTACATGTAAAATTATATCCGTAAAGAAAATCAGCGCACAACGTATCAAAATAATATACCGATATCTCGTACAAATGCATGTGCGACCAAATGCACTCCTACTTAACAGTGGCTCTTTTCACATTTTGGTGATAATTTTAAATGAGTGCACTCCAATCGCAACTACTCGGCCCTTTCCGTCAGTCTTCGGATAAGGATTAATCAATCGCAACTACTCGGCCCTTTCCGTCAGTCTTCGGATAAGGAAAGATAATAGCCGAGGCAGTTCCGAATGAAGGATTAATATTATAGATAATAGCCGAGTCAGTTCCGAGGAGGCAGTACACAGTTTCGGCTGTTTAGTTTCGAATTGGCAAATAAGAGACAGTTTTGAAATTGAAGTGGATATTTGAGGTTCTAAATGTTTAAAGTTACTATATTTCAAGTTTCAATGACTAGTATTGTGTTTCAGTTATTTAGTAAAATTGAATTTAGTGGCGTTGACCCTTGTTTTTATGAGAGAGTACCTGTCGGATGCGAACGTGTGGTTTCTGGAGCTAGCCGGTGAATCAGCTCTTCAATTTAAAGGGTATGCAGAAGACTTAGAATAGTGAAAAAAGTAGGTGGATGGCACCCCGTTTGGATGTTATTTTCAGATTGTGCATTGTTTAAGGAGGTAGAAACACTATAGCTTGTGATTTAAGTTTTTGACGTTAATATATTGTTGTATTTTGCGAATAGGGATAATCCGCTTATTTTGTCGTTGATTTTCGCGACCAAAACAATGAAAAACACAGGGCTGTGTGCCAGAAAACTAGAAGGTGGACATGTATTTTTAATTGTTTGCTGTGAGATACATATATATATGTTAAATATGAAATGCATTTATTTCAGGTGTGTGATTACAGACTTGTGTGTGAGGTTTTGATTGTGGCGCAGTCAGTTGTTTGCCGAGAAGCCTTGAAAACTGTGTATTGCCCCCCGAATGGAGAGCACTCGACACTACCCTCCTGACTTTCGTCTATATTTATCCATTTTGGTTCCGAATTTTTATGCAGTCACTTTCCCGAAAACATGCAATGCGTATTCATGAAGAAAACGTCGCTTTATGGACTCAAAATACAATTATAACAAAATCTTACCACTACATTCAGTTGTTCACGATGGGTGAACTACCTTAAACTATATCGTCGAATCTTTCTTTGATATTGTTAATTTAAATTGTTCTATATATTTGTCAAAGCAGTTTTATGCTCTCGCAATCTGTTTTATATATTGGATTTTTAAAAGTATATATTCCAGAGAAAACGGAAGTTAATTAAGTCATAACAGCGTCTCTCCATCTGTGTGTAAAGACGCACGCATGATGGCCATAAACAATGACGCTTTTATCGGAATGCTAGCCTGGAGATGCATTTCTAAAACAGTTTCTCGGAACATATAAAACAATTTCTCGTAATTATTAGTTTTCACTTTGATATGGAAACAAATGCAGGCCATCTTCGAAAAGGCGGCATGCAATATTACACTGTTTACATAGATTAATGGCTCGAAATAAATGTATGATCCAGATTCGGGACAATTTTCTACTAGCTTTTCAATCGGAATACATCGCCCATCCTCAACAAAATAATAATCTATATCCAAAGATTAAAAGAAAGGGCCAACATGTTGCGATTGGAAGATTAAAGGAGGATTTGGGAAAATCGAATTTTGTTGTGTTGGCTGTTAATATTTTAAAAACATTCTTACGCACCAGTCAGTTGTAAAATTGACCCCCACCCGGGGTAAAATCGGGGAATGAATCTTCGATTATCATACCCACGGAAAAGGCCCGCCCTGCCTGTGTGGACAGTCAATTCTATATGTCCCACGTAAGTTGCTAGTCAGACATATACATTGTACTCTGTTATTTTGGCGCCAATGTAAATCCGGATTGCACGGGGACATACAGGAACGTCAAATATGCTCATTTTCCACGCCCCGACGATGGGACGGGGTTACAATTGACTGAAGCGTTATCATCCCATGATATCTTTGTTTGTTATAACTTTCCAATTATTTTTGCAAAATAGTTCAATGCTGTTTGTTATGGAAGGCAAACCTTGACCTATTGCCACAGTCTAGGTGATAAAAATGAAACATCTGTCAGACTATCTATGTAGGCCTATCATCAAAAACTTACTAGAAACAATGCATTATATACATCCATAAATATGTATACATCAAAGCGGATGTTTTAACAAAGAGAACAATACGATTTATACAACAATAGATACAGTTACATTAAATATCTCGTGCATGACAATGATTGATTTGCCTGCACGTGAAAATTGATATTTCCAAGATCGAAGTTTGAGAAAAACCGAGCGGATTTTCAAAATAAAAAAAATCCGACAATTTTAAGATGTAAAGAAATAATGATTTAAATATTGATACATTAAAATTTCACTAATACCTGTAATGAAGTTGTTTTAATAGTTATAGAGGTAAAATCGTTTAAGTTTTTGCAAGTTTTAGCTGTGAGTAACTGATAAGAGAACAACAAAATTCCTTTCGGATCTATTTATTTGTGCCACTCATTAAGCCTATTTATAGCAGAAAACGTTATAGATAACATTCGTACCGTGTATAGGTGATATTTATAACATAGATTTCATTTTTGGATTGAGGAATTTGTTTTGCATCCATTTGTTATTTCTGATCAAATTTTCCAATTTACTCATTGTTTCGTAACGTTGGTGTACTATTATCTGTTTTGACTATAATCATTTGATACTCGTCGAAATGCACCGAAAATAAGCACTTTTTTCTTCTGATATGACGAAATGGGCCGTCTGCTACGTCTTATCATGGTATTGGTGATATGCGGAGATAAAACATTAAGAGCTTTTGCACCAGATGTCAACATTATTTGATACAAGGTAAGTGCTATAACTATATCAGTCATGTCTTAAATATATTAGAACTTTTTCTAAACAAATAATTTGAACTTCATTTTTAATATGTAAAAGAAATGCCATCATGGTGTCAAACTGGCATTTTTCTGCTTTATATCAGCAAATTGTACACCTTTTTTTGAATTTCAAAGTTTACCGATATACTGATCTTTGTTTGCTGTGATTTAGAGACGGACAGAACCAATTTTCTAAACATAAAAAAATCAGAATGCATATTATAACATGTTCCAAATCCCTTAATTTGGACAGAACCACGAAACTCTTATTGGATAGCTATAGAAGTCGGGGGTTGGGGGATGCCAAGCCATTAAAACGTCTTGCACTAGAACAACTGGAGCCTTTGTTGGGCCATTAGAGCTAAAGAAGATGAAAAAAGAATAGATATGATAAACCTTGATTACGTTGCCATGAAAAAATGGGTAGATTATTGTCACACTTTGTCTGTAGCGTTTGTCTTAATTACACAATTCTCTCACGTTTGTTTTCTCTGGGGAAAAAATCAATCCCTTTTAAATAGGGGTCGTAAGACATACATATTGAAATATGTTCACCACTTCTCACTAATCAACATATGAATTATGATTAAATATGGTTTGTAGAATCTTTTAGTTGGTCGGCCCCTTCTTGAGGGCCACCAAAATATCGTAGATATCACAGAACTTTGTCTTCAGCAGATGTTCTTCTACCAAGTTTACTTTAAAGATTAATTTAGTCGTCACCTTCTTGGGGTTCCTGTAGCTAGAAGTTGATCAAAATAAATTGCAAGAATTTATTTCTCAATTGTACTTAAAAAGAATTAACTTTTTTCTGTTTAAATTAACAGGTATATCATCAATGGATTTGGTCCTATTGAAAGATACATCGGAATTATTTGAGCTAAAAAAATAAAAGCGTTTTAAAATAGCGTATGTATCTTTTTTATGCAAGTGAGCGACGGTCAGCCAACATGGTCCTCTTGTTACATGTTTTGTTCGTTATGTGACGGCAGATAATAATAATAATAATAATAATAATAATAAAAATAATAATAATAATAATAATATATCTATTTTAAGAAGGTAACACATATAAATGTACACAGTTAATGAAAAATGAAATAAAAACTGGTAACAGTAACTGATGAAAAGAGGACAAAATCGTTATATTTTAAAGGTTTTCAGACAGAGTATCCGGGTACGAATTTCAGGTACGTTTCACATTTCGCATGTGATGTTATTTTTTTGGAAATGATATTGAAAAAGGGTGTTTATACGGAAATTATATAGATAATATAATGTTCAATCCCGGATGCACATATATTGTTGTCCAACAATTAGGACAAAAAATATAATTCGCTAGATCAGTTTATTAGATTACCTTTTTCCTTTAATAACGTGGTTATTCATTTTGAAATTTTCTTCCCATGGATAGACATGTTATATGTTAAGTATAGATATAATGATATGTTTTTTAAGGTCGATTCATTTATTAACATATTTATATGTATATTTATTATCATTTTTGAAATCTGGATTTATTAAGTGGTAAACATCTCCCGGGCAGTGGTGGCATGAGGTTAAATTAATTTTGTCTGACTCATAGCCCGGCGTTGACAATTCTGAAAAAAATGTAAGCAAAGCAACATCTGTTGTCGACTCAAGTGTTATTGGATTAATATAGCAGAATAACGTGGACACATTTTTCCTTTATGCTATTATTTTCTTGCAATTGAGCAAAATTATTGTACATTCATGTAGTTACGGTTATTGTTAAATGAGAAACTATTTACCACCAATATTATTTCAAAAGGTGTTTTAATACAATAAACATAAAATGGATATTAGAAGATCGATTTTGGTCAGCTGTTAAAAACGTGATATTGTTTTTTTTTTCTTTTAAAGACTTGGAATTTTATGTACGTCTGCTACATAAAATGAATGACAAAACGGAAGTATCGAGATTTGCTATTGGAGCAGACGACTCGTCTTCTTACTACAGCTTCACTTCAAACATGTCCGTAAATACTGCTGCGGAAAATGACAATGGATTTTGGACTCGGTTTACACAGTTCTTCCAGAGGGTCAAGGACAGTTCAACATCCCCGCTTATTGAGAACGCGCCAAATGTCAAAAGGACTCTGAACTCATTTAGCGGGGTCTTCGCACCAGTCGCACTGTCTATGTTCGGAAATCTTCTATTTATTAGAATCGGTATGTACATGTACCTCATATTGTAAGCAGGTGTATGTGTGGTGTTTGTGCGTGTGTGTGTCTGCTTCTGAAATAACTTTGGCACCTTGAAATAGTCTTATATCGACTTCCCGGCTTTAAAGGTGGGTGGGTGGTAAACCCCCATATGCTTACATGCATTATTTCTGGCAAAGACATTGGTTCGAGTCCTACTAGTCATGACCATGTTTCCGCATATGACACAATTTAAAGCGAGATTTTTCAAATAAGAATCTCCTATCTTAATAAGTGAATGCTCTTTAAATTTTAGTTTCTATACTTTAAAATTTTTGAGGGGGTGTAATGTTCTATAATTGTGGTATAATATTAACATATAAACTATTCGGTCGGGGAATGGGACCAAAAAGTCACTGCAAACCAACTGTAAATGTCCGCCATGTGGACAGTCATTTAGAGAGTAAATAATATGTACATGCAAAGGACATATCGCACTATTTCGGCGCGAAAACATGCAAAACGGCCCGATGTAAATTCTAACATAGCACCACATAGGCAAACCCATATAAAGCTAGTTTATGAAATGCTTATAGATCTAACAGTTGTTCAATATCAAATTTTCATGTATATTATATAATATAATCAGGGTCTTTCAAATAGAAAGACCCTGATATAATATAATAGGATATCATATATTTTTTGTCAAATAATAAGCCGCTGAAATTATTTGTGATACATACTGCAGTACAGCATTCTACCATTACAATAAATGTTATTATTGCACAGACTTGAGCACCTTAATTGATCTGTCATACAGATCAGCTACAGTTCACAGGCACGAGTATCGGACCTGGGAAGAAAAATATGACCAGATTGATAAAAAAACTGTGTTCACCTTAAAAGTGTCCAAAAAAAAAAAATGTAAATAATGACCCCCTTTAAAAATATACTATAAGTTAACTTATAGTATATTTTTAAAGGGGGTCATTATTTACATTTTTTTTGACACTTTTAAGGTGAACACAGTTTTTTTTTTATCAATCTGGTCATATTTTTTCTTCCCAGGTCCGATACTCGTGCCTGTGCTACAGTTGGCGTTTATGTAAATTTATGTATTTTAACACGGATTCGTAATGATAAACAGAACTACTCAGTGTGTAACAATGAGTACTAAAGTGTTGATTTATGTTTTTATCTATGTTTTAATCGATTTATTAAGCTAGTAAAATACTGAACTAGTTTCTGGACGTATTTACATACATGTAGTACACTACCGGTGAATCAGCTGGCGGGCGGGTCACGAGTACTACAACAACAACAACAACAACAACAACAAGATTATTTTGTTTGGAATATAAACAAAGATTATTTCGAGTTACATCAATGGAATATTGGTGATTTTATGTAGATCTATTTATGTGATATTTGTAAAAGTATGTGCTTATATAAACTATCCTGAATGGCAATTAATTTTAACGTAATTTGTAAATACATCGATTGAAGATCTTACTAGTAGTCGGATAAAATAATATTCGGATACTAGTTTGTGTTCACGTGAAATACGTTCAGATCTGTAAAATATATTGGGATTACTTGGTTTTCAATTGTTTTGTCACTATAAGTGGAAATTGAAATTGGTGAAGTTTTGTTAAGACACTTATTAGACTTTTTAAATCGATAATTATCATTAATTTTTGGAGGGCAAGATTTATTTGCAGTCTGCAAACTGGGCCAGATATTCACACTTAAGTAATTAGACTACATTGTATGATAAGAATTGTGACAGGATGTTTAGAGTAGCTTACATGTAGGTTAGTTCAACAATAGCATCATTGGATCAGTCATTTTTTTGGTAATTAATAATTGAAGAATAGGGGCTATTAGGGCAAGCTATTGATCTTCTGACCCAAGCATTGGTGCTTTTGTTGCTATCACAATTTGGTTATGTTTTTGTGTGCAAGTTGGTATCTCCAAAAATTATTGAAGGAAATAGGTTGAAACTTCACACACTTGTTCTCTTTAATTTATATCTTACATGAATGACATGACTGTAAGCTGCATGTACATTTACCTGTTTTCTGAGTTTAATGCCAGTTTTCTTACATTTATAAGCCCTGAGAATATTCAAGCACGCTGTCATATAGACACAGCTTTGTTAAACCAAGAGTACATGGGTATAGTAGGCGTAACGAGTCAGAATTTACCTTTCCATTATACATATGACAATGACAATGGTCACACTGCCTTGCAAATATTATGGTTTGTTTTTGTGCTAAAATGATATTTAAATGTGATTTTAAATGACAGGTACACCCCACACATTGGTTAGATTTTAATTCAGAAATATGATAAACCAGGCTTTTTCTCCTTATAAAGCAGGGGAGGGGCTGTTAAAGGGCTGCTTCTCCAAAGAATTTTTTTTAAATCATGCAGTTTTCCCGAAAATTGAATAAAGTTTTTTCCTCCCCTTTTGCAAAATTTATATACCATGTTATTTCCACCCAAAATTAAGGACGGGCTGCTTCCAAAACCTGTGAAAAAAGGCCCTGACAAATGAACATGTATAAGTTGGTCTTTACTCAATTTAGCCAGGGCTTTTCAAACAGAAATTTTCTTATTTGAATAAATTGAAATTTGTTTCAAGATTTCTGTGGATCCAATGATAAAAAATAATATAGTAGGTTATAAGTATTTTAGTATTTATCACCCAAAAAGCATCCAGTTTGCAATGTTAAATATTTTGCTTATGAAAGTCCACATTTCATACAAACCTAAGTGTGTCACTATAACTCGGATTAAGAAGCCCAGATGATACAAATGGATGTGCAGTTGATGTACATGTATTAGGCTAGTTTTAAAGCTGCTCGCCTCCAGAAGAGCCAAAATATTTCAAGAAAATCAATATTGAAAAAAAATTTACTAAAATTTTAAGAAAGGTAAAAACATTCAAGATCTAAGTGACATGTTACATGTTATATTTGGTTTAAGACTGCTTTTGCAGTATTTTATCACAATATTTCTACTGCATTACTATTAACGCAGTAACGGCAGTTTTTGCTTATGTTGACCACTTTTTGGTAATTTTCTTGGATTGTAAGTGCCAATTGCAATATGTAATTTGCTTTATTTGTTCACCTCACAATATTTTACTTTTAAATACATTTTCAAAATTTTCATGAAAATAAACATGAATCTGGAGGCGTGCTGCTTTAAATAGTTAATGCTATTAAAGGAACAGAGACACAAAATAAATGAGCCGCATCATGACAAAACCAACATAATGGGTTTGCGACCAGCATGGATCCAGACCAGCCTGCGCATCCGCGCAGTCTGATCAGGATCCATGCTGTTCGCTATCAGTTTCTCTACTTGTTATAGGGTTTGTAAGCTAACAGCATGGATCCTGATCAGACTGCGCGGATGCGCAGGCTGGTCTGGATCCATGCTGGTCGCAAACCCATTATGTTGGTTTTGTCGTGACACGGCTCAAATGATATCATCATGATAATCCCTGCTAATATTTAATCTGTCTGGTTTGTACCGGTTATTTCTGCATTTACCTGTTAATACATAATCAGTAACCACCAGATACAAGACTCGGAGTACACCTCACTTCCTACTTAAGTCATTTTGAAAAATGATTTAATTTATTTTATGTACATGTATAGCTCATGCGATAGCATAATATCATCATATTCATGATTATTTCATTTATTTAAGTATCCATTCAAATTAACTTAATATCATTTAGTATCAAGGGGAAGATAAATAACATTATACAATGTACATGGAATTGAAGTGATTTCTAGTTAATAATTAAACTGACATTTGCCAATAACTACTTTTATCTGATAGTTATATTTTGGGGATTTGAAACCTTTTCTTGTTTAGCTAATGATAAATTAGTAATGCATTGCGATCCTAAAAGATTAATATTCAGATAAGTGTTTTATTATAATACTTGTTATATCATTTAATCATGAATAAAATTTAATGAATATAGATATTAGATATATATGCACTTTTATTTGAATGAAATCCAATCTACCATAAACTTGCTAATAAACACAATCATGTGAAATTTTAAATTATTTGTTTTTAAAGATAATATCAATAAATTGATTTATTCCTAAAAGTAAAGCATTTATAGACATGGAATGGTTTCCAGTAAGATAAATTAGAATAAGAACACCCCTGTAAACATGCTCTTTGAATAAGGCAAAATTGCCTAGTGTTACCTGTCATTAAAAAACCGCCTCCGTGGTCGAGGGGTTAGAGTCGATGACTTCTAATCCAGTTACCTCTCTGGCGTGGGTTCGATCCCCGGGAGATGCTTTGGTAGTTTAGCGCGGAGGAAGGTTGTCTAGTACTGGTGTAACTCTCCAGGAACGATGGTTAGGAAACTACCCGCCTATATGACTGAAATACTGTTGAAAAAGGCGTAAAAATGAAACAAACAAACAAACAAACAAAAGCTGTCATTAAAGGTAGTCATTAGAGCGATAAAGGGCAGCTCTAGTCCTCTTGTTTTAATTAGCTATGTCATTTTCTTATTAGGTGAAGCACGGTATGTCAGTAGCCAGTAGTTAACATTATGTACTTTGATCATAGATAAGTATCTATTCACTGGACAGGATGATAAAAGTGTTTTCCACTGTTTACCTTGGGCCATTTTAAGGAAGTTTTTGTTGCTTCCTTTTCTTATTTAAAACAAATCAGTGTAATTGTATTTATAAGTGAATTGAGTATGCTTGTTAAACTAATGTGTTTTTGATAGTTTGTTTTTAGTCCTTGTAAAAGATTTTTGTTTATGTAATTGAAAGCTATTATGGTATCTTATATCAGTGAATGGATCTTATATTAAGCACATACACTTTACACAATTAGTATAGGGAAAGAACTTATGATCGTGAAATAATAAAAAAGGTTTAACTGAAAAGGATATTTCCACTTGGAAAAGTGAAAGCAAGATTTTAAAAAAGAAGGGACAATGGCTAGTAATATGGCTGCAGATTTTGAAAATAGCGGGAATTTATCTACCAGTAAGCGAGTGACTTACGGTAGCAATGAGGAACATAACCCATCCCCTCCATCGAGTGAAAATAGTGACATTAATGGGGCGGACAACACACCGCTTATTCACTCACCAATGATCTGGCGACTGCCTCGAGGCTTGAGCAGGAGTGTACGAACGAGGCAGGACTCCTTGATGGACAATCGTAGGACCCTCGGAACATTTGCGGGAGTATTCTGTCCGATTGCATTGTCAATGTTCAGCACCCTTTTGTTCTTGAGAACAGGTACATGTATGATTGTATTTGTAAAGTGAAATTAAAAAATTTTGAGTGACTTTATGAATTACATTGTGTGATGTTATGGTACTGATTAATATAAAATGGTATGTTATTGATATAAAATGGTACAGTATAAGGGAGTATTGGATTTTATTGTTTTACTTGTTGATGATTTCATGAACGCTGATTCCACAGAAGTATTAAGCAATAAAATGATTATCTTAAGTTATCTTTTTCAACGTACAAAAGTGACGTTGTTTAAAATGTAAGTTAATAATATTATGCAATACAATGATAAGTTAAAAATGATAATGAAACACAAAATAAGAATTCTATAACATAATAGTTATTGTTTTTTTTATGAAATAGGCAATATTTAAGGACAGACAGGTTCATATTTAAAGCATGACAGTTGACTGAGAAATGTACAATGTAATGCAAAGGGCAATGTAATTTATGTCTATGAATAACATGGAGAAATTATTTCCAATTACGAAATTAACTGTTTCACTTTTTCATACATAGAGAGGCTAGTTTTTTTATATGCACCGTTATCTGTACTGTGTCATTATGTATGTAGATCTACATGTATACCCATTGTTCTTGTGCATATTGTTTATTTATTGCTGTATTTCTTGGTTCATTGTTCAAAATCCTCAGTCAATTAATGAATTTATTATCTGATGGATACAATAACATACGAAACCAGTCATCAAGACACAGTCAACGCCCTCTTTCAGTATGTGTTCTAAGTTTAATAAGGGTCCATCCACCCTTTCAGGCACTGAATGTATGAACCCCGGACATGTCACCAATCATGTCCTTAAATACTATTAAGTTGCCAAATGGTGACCTCTTTCCAATTTCCAGTCCTTATTTATTGTCTGTCTATAATCGGCCCTTATATGATGTGTATGACCTTTGTAGAAAGGTGACCTTGGGTCCATGATTATTACAGTATACATGTAGATAGTTTACATATGAGCCGCGTCGCGACAAAACCAACATAGTGGGTTTGCGACCAGCATGGATTCAGACCAGCCTGCGCTTCCGCGCAGTCTGATCAGGATCCATGCTGTTCGCTATCAGTTTCTCTACTTGTTATAGGCTTGGTAAGCGAACAGCATGGATCCTGATCAGACTGCACGGATGCGCAGGCTGGTCTTGATCCATGCTGGTCGCAAAAGCATTACGTTGGTTTTGTCATGACGAAGCTCATATTTACATTATATATTAGATATCTTATTTACTTTTATCATGATATCTGTGATATACTGTACATAAACTTTGTTTTCACTCATGTTTAACCCTACGGTATCATATTTGACGTAGATAGTGAACTTTTAATTATTAAAATAAATGTCAAATGTTAGTGCATTTGTTGTTAATTAAGAAACATAATTTGTCACCTTAGCGCAGTAAGAGATTAACTCCTTATATAATCTTAGGGGAGTTAACCTGTTACTGCACTAAGGTGACAATTTATTGTTTCTTTATTCATCAGATCTGCATTTTTTGACCTCATGATTTTTTACTTTGTCAATGACATTTATATGTGAATGATTCAATTGTACAATTGTAATTTCGTCAGCAAAGATGCACATGATATTGAGAAAGTGTAGGGTAATTGGTTTGTGTGGCAGGCATGTTGATGCTTATTTTGTCGCGGTGGTATGCCACAAATGTTAATGTAAATAATAATGGGCTGAAATAAGCATAATCAGGACTTTTCACAGCCATTTTGAGAAAAAAGTACAATGCATAATTTTGGGATTTTTTCCGCCTAAATTTATCTAATTGGGAAAAAAACTTTAAGTATTCGGTTCATTATTAATTTTGAGAAATCTATAAGTAAAAAGAAACTAAATTGGATTTCTATTCATGTTTCTTTTCACTGTTCCATCATTTTCACTAATTATGTTAAGAAATTGTATACCGGTATACGGTGTTAACAGTGTATACATATCAAACTAAAGCATTCTTCTTTCTTTCAACCAGTGACTTATATAACCTTCCATCACTGAAAAGTGAAAACAATGCAGATTATGCTTTGTACAAATGTAGCACTGGGGTATATGATTAGTGTAACTCAAAGTGTGAATAGTGTATACCAAAGTCTGATCAGCTGGCACTTCTGTGAATGCATTTAAACAGATTGAATGACAGACAAGTTCGTTCAAGATATTTAGCGTTTTATGGCTTCAAGAAGCTCATAAATTGGCATCAATAAAAATAAATTGATTATGCTTTTTACTGATTCATGTTCTTGCAAGTAATTTTAAAAACACCTTCTTAATTAAAGGAGGTAAGTTTTGTTCACTTTCCTGTTAATTTCATCTTAATATTTCACTCAAGCGAAGCGGTGAATTAGGGAGCTTAATTACCTAAATCATCAAGGGAAATTATCTGCAAGGAAAATTACTTACTTTTCAAAAGTGTTATATGCTGTATGAACAGACACAGGTCTTGATATTATTGGTGACAGACAACATTTCTTTGCTGTTGCTGTTTCCACAGCTTCTTTGATAAGTTATACAATAAAGCTAGTGAAAAACTTAAAAACTTCTGTTGCTGAATAGTTCCCTTGATTAGACTTGTCAAATAGATATCAACATGTTTTTGGACAGGGAACTTCTTTTCCCAATGGTTTGACAGTATAGGAAACAAAACTTCATCTGAAAATTCAAATATGTGTCAAACAAATCATGTGTAATTAATAAAGCTAGTCGCCAAGTTAATTGCAGTTAATTACAAAGATTAAGTACTGTATAAGTAAATGGAAAATGGAGGCATTTGTTCTTGTTTTATAAACTTTAAAGGCATATAATGACATGCTATACAGTTTTGAAATACCTTTGACATTTAATGCTAGATATGCAATTATGCCAAGAGTTTATATCTAATATTTAGTACATGTATTAAGTGAGAGAATTATTACAGGAAAAGCTTGGATGACAAAATTTGACCTTTAAGGTTTTCAGTCTCTATTTTTATGATTTGACATGATTTTCAGATTAAATGATGCTGTCTGTAGATTATACTTAAATCGCATGTTAGGAGTTTCCAGTTATATGTACAAATAATGTAAGTTAAAAGTCATGACGTTGTCTATGTATATAGTTAAAGTAACTCTTACCATGCCAAATATATTAAATGAACTTGCACCACTTTCAATCTGAACAAATCCTTTTATGTTTTTTTAAGGGAAAATTTCAAAATAAATGCTTAGGGAAAATCTCAAAAAATTAGTGTTGGCTGAATATCGAACAGTGCAGACCATGAACAGACAGCATGGGTTTATTCAGTTGCCACCAGCAGCAGGCTATAGACTAAAATGTCACATGTGCATATACTTGAATGTTGCCCATTTATTCAAACATTTCAAGTTATCAACTTGACACTTGGAATACAGTAAATTCTGAGCTTACAAACGACCCTTTATTGCAGGCAAATCAATAATTTGCTCACTTTTTTCAAGTCCTGATTTTCTTTTGCCTATAAACTGTTATATTTCTACAACGATTCTAATCGTAAATGATAACCACCTATTACAGATACACATATAGATGATATAGTGATAACTGGCATGGGTCTCTAACTTAAGACCAACTTGATAATTATAAGACCACTTCTACAAGAGCCCAAAAGTGGTCCTAATCTTTATAACAGACTTTACTGTACTTGCTTATCATGACAAAGTGCAGTGGTTAGACAAGGGGCATAATTCTAAAAGCAATATTTTTTGAGTTATGCCCCTTTTTAACTTAGAATTTTAACAGACTAGCAATAATAACCCATGTGATGCTCTTGATGTATTTCAGTATTGAAAATCCCATATCTTTAAATGGGCTGTCCCAAAACCAGGCTAATTTTTTATACATTACAAAAGTTGGACTGGTTAACAGACTAACAGTTAATAACATTGTGTTCGGACTGTAATAAATAACCATATTGTCAATTTTTACATTTCAGGTTTTGTAGTCGGTCAGGCTGGTATATTGGAGACGATACTACAGCTTATTCTAGCCTACACTATACTCGTATTAACTGTGTTCAGTATATGTGCGATATCAACAAATGGTGCCGTGGAAGGGGGCGGGGCTTACTGTATCCTTTCAACAGATGTTACACATTCTTTACCTACGTTATTGCTATTAATTGTCAGATGTTATCATCAGTTTATTGTCAGCTTAATGAAATATATTTTTATTGTTGTTTTTTAGCTCACCTGTCACAAAGTGACAGGGTGAGCTTTTGTGATCGCTTTTCGTCCGGCGTCCGTCGTCCGTCCGTCGTCCGTAAACTTTTACTTTAAATGACATTTCCTCATAAACCACTTGGCCAATTTCATCCAAACTTCACAGGAATGTTCCTTTGGTGGTCACCTTTAAAATTGTTCAAAGAATTTAATTCCATGCAGAACTCTGGTTGCCATGGCAACCGAAAGAAAAAACTTCAAATATCTTCTTTTAAAAAACCCTAAGAGCTAGAGCTTAGATATTTGGCATGAAACATCTTCTAGTAAGTGTCTACCAAGTTTGTTCAAAAAAAAGCCCTGGGGTCAAAATTGGCCCCGCCCCAGGGGGTCATTGATTTTCCCTATATGCATATAGTAAAAACTTAAAAAATCTTCTTTTAAAGAACCCAAATAGCTAGAGCTAAGATATTTAGCATGAAACATGTTCTAATGAGTGTCTACCAAGTTTGTTAAAAAAAAAGCCCTGGGGTCAAAATTGGCCCCGCCCCAGGGGGTCATTTATTTTCCCTATATGCATATAGTGAAAACTTAAAAAATCTTCTTTTAAATAACTCAAAGAGCTAGAGCTAAGATATTTAGCATCAAACATGTTCTAATAGGTGTCTACCAAGTTTGTTCAAATAAAAGACCTGAGGTCAAAATTGGCCCGGCCCCGGGGGTCATTGATTTTCCTTATATGTGTATATCAAAAACTTAAAATCTTTTTTGAAAAAACCCAAATAGCTAGAGTTTAGATATTAAGCATGTAACATCTTCTAGTAAGTGTCTACAAAGCTTGTTCAAATAAAAGCCCTGGGGTCAAAACTGGCCCCGCCCCAGGGGTGTCATTGTTTTTAACTATTTGTGTATAGTAAAAACTTTAAAAAATCTTCTTTTAAAAAGCCCAATGAGCTGGAGCTTAGATGTTTAGCATGAAACATCTTCTTATGGGTGTCTACCAAGTTTGTTCAAATAAACACCCTGGGGTCAAAATTGGCCCCGCCCCAGGGGATCATTGATTTTCCCTATATGCATATAGTAAAAACTTAAAAAATCTTCTTTTTTAAGAACTCAAAGAGCTAGAGCTAAGATATTTAGCATCAAACATGTTCTAATGGGTGTCTACCAAGTTTGTTAAAAAAAAAGCCCTGGGGTCAAAATTGGCCCCGCCCGGGGGGTCATTGATTTTCCTTATATGTGTATAGTAAAAACTTAAAAAATCTTCTTTGAAAAAACCCAAATAGCTAGAGTTTAGATATTAAGCATGAAACATCTTCTAGTGAGTGTCTACAAAGTTTGTTCAAATAAAAGACCTGGGGTCAAAATTGGCCCCGCCCCAGGGGGTCATTTATTTTCCTTATATGTGTATAGCAAAAACTAAAAAATCTTCTTTGAAAAACCCAAATAGCTAGAGTTTAGATATTAAGCATGAAACTTCTTTTAGTAAGTGTCTTCAAAGTTTGTTCAAATAAAAGCCCTGGGGTCAAAACTGGTCTCGCCCCAGGGGTGTCATTGTATTTAACTATATGTGTATAGTAAAAGCCTTAAAAAAATCTTCTTTAAAAAAACCGAATGAGCTAGAGCTTAGATGTTCAGCATGAAACATCTTCTTATGGGTGTCTACCAAGTTTGTTCAAATAAAAGCCTTTGGATTAAAATTGGCCCTGCCGGGGGGGGGGGGGGGGGGGGGGAAGGGGAGAGAGGGCAGGGGGGGGACATTGTTTTTCATTATATGTGTGTAGTAAAAACTTAACATCATGAAACATCTTCTAATGGCTGTCTTCCAAGTTTGTTCAAATAAAAGCCCTGGGGTTTAAACTGGCCCCGCTCCAGGGGCCTATATACAGGTGAGCGACCTCAGGGCCATCATGGCCCTCTTGTTTTTGTTTAAGGTAGTTTTTAATGATTTAATAAAGGTTTTATACATTTTACACAGAGAGGCCTTATATCAGTTTAACCATAATCCTGCTAAATTTGTGAAATGGATTTGCCCATCTTTGATACTAGAACAGTCTAATATAGGTATTAAGGGATTTTAGAATCAAAATACAAAAAATGAGCTACCAACATATGCTAGTTAATTAAGCATGAATGGTTTGAGCCACTTAACTGTTCTTTTTTTCCTACTGTCAAACTGTTTCGAAAACGACATCAACTGTTCAAAAAGTATCTCACTTAGTTGGACTACCAACATATTGTAACCCTCAATCTATTGAATTTCATGAATTTACTTGTCAAGCTTCCACTCTTGGAACTGCCCGTTATCAATTTTAGGGATGTAAGAATGAAGTTATATCAGACTGAAGTTGGTGTCAGCCAACAGTGCCTTGCCTGGCTCTATAAATGAGCCGGGTAACGACAAAACCAACATAGTGTGTTTGTGACCAGCATGGATCCAGACCAGCCTGTGCATTTGCGCAGTCTGATCAGGATCCATGCTGTTCGCTTACCAACTCTGTTACAAGTAGAGAAACTGATAGCAAACAGCATGGATCCTGATCAGACTGCGCGGATGCGCAGGCTGGTCTGGATCCATGCTGGTTGCAAACCCATTATGTTGGTTTTGTAGTGGCGCGGCTCAAATGAAACTGATAGCAAAGGCTAATCACTTTCTGTTCAAGAAGGTAACAAGCGAAAATGAAGAATAAAAGTAAATTTGTAAATAAATAAAAAAATAAAAAGAAGAAAATAAGCATGTCTGATGTCACTGAATCAAATATGTTTTTTTTTTATTATTTTTGTTGACAAATGTATAGCACCTACTCAGAAGAGAAAAAATTTAGATAAACATCTTTTAAATGAGAGAGCTAATAATAACAGCTGTTAAGTGAAATAAACTTCAACACCTTGAATTATAAAATTTGATACCATCTGGTGATAGGTAGTTTCTTTGAACAAATTTAATTGCCTATTGATTTGTGGGTTGCTTAACTGGAAATTTAAACCTGTTGCTATTCATTAATATAGCTAGAGAGACATATGTAGATATAGACAATTATTTGTCAATTGTCAAGATTGATAATTTACTTTAAAGGCTGTTATATTCATTCTGTTTCAGCTTTTCTTTTAAAGGTCCTTCATTTCAGTTTGTTTAATCTTTACTTTTAAAGGCCCTTAAAGCCATTTTGTTTTAGCTTTACATTAAAAGCACTTAAATTCATTTATTTTTGTTTACCTTTAAAGACCCTTCAATTTATTTTGTTTTAGTTTTACTTTAAAGGCCCTTAAATTCATCTTATTTTAGCTTTACTTTAAAGGCCCTTAAATTCATTTTATTTTAGCTTTACATTAAAGGCCCATAAATTCATTTTGTTTTAGCATTACTTTAAAGGCCCTTAAATAAATCTTGGTTATTTGCATCTTCAATATTGTTTTACCAATAAACTACTTAAACTGAAAGTGAAAAACTTTACAATCAGTATACTGCCAGGCCAGGCATAACATTCAGTCTGACCAGTGGCTATATTCTACAATCTTGATATCCCTAGAACTGATAATGAAATGTTCCAAATATAGAAGCTCAGCAAAGTCTATTTAAGAAATTCAGCAGGATAAAGGTTATATTACAATAATTAAAACATACTAGGATTGGTGGCTCTATTTATTTTTTTAACACATAGGATATTAGCTTCGGCTGAGGTTAAAATATTAGCAGTCCTTTACATAGTAGTATTGAACTTTAGCTAAATCATAAATGTTACTAGTATGGTATTGAACTTTAAACCATTACTTTTAGTTCATTGACCTGAAGGTCATTGGATTGAATTTCACACAGTCCTCTAGGTTCATGCTTTTATGTTTTAAGTAGGACAGGGATAGTGGAAAGGTTAATTTATTACAAATACCTAATAATATGAATTTTTAGCTTTGTTACTGTCATGTCCGTGCAGGTTGCTTAAAAAGGGCAACTTTTTCTTGTTAAAGAAAACCCAAACAACAAAATTTGAAAAACATTGATAGTCATACTTCCTTATTTTTTTTAAGGGTGAACCAGTGGATAGATTATCACAAAGTTTATTCTGTGGCAGGTTCACTGTCATTATTATGCAGATGTACTTTGTTAACTTCTTAAAGGAAATATGGCCTTTTCTCATGCTTTCATACATGGAATACTTATTTATCACCTTCGTACTCATTTTAAGACTGTCATGGATCATAAATTAGATCATAATTATGCACCCTGTTTTGACTTTAAAGTGTTCAAAGACTAATTCCCCTTTTTAGACATACAAGTTTTCTATGACCAATCTTCTATCCTCTATCAAGTACTGACTGTTGTCAAGGGCCCTGTTTTACTCCAACAATTATTGCTTGAATATTTGTTTTCCTGAGCTATATATAGATATGATCAGCAGAGCCCTGGGTCCGGAGTTTGGTGGTAGTATAGGGTTCCTGTTCTATGTGGCCAATGTGCTGGCATGTGCCCTATATGTGAGCGGCTTCACTGAAGGTATCTTAGAAAACTTCGGTGTTGGAGGTTAGTATGTAGCTATATAATTATGATAGAATCAAAGTTCGATATTGTGTCTTTTACAAGAAGTTTTATAAAGCACTTTCATAAGGCTATATTTGAATTTTTAGCAAGACATAGTGCCCATTTGCTAGCTGGATAGCTTCTGTAAATGAAACAATAAGTCCCTAACCCAGCTAGCATCAGTTAATGATTGACTAAGCCCAATATCCAGCTAGCTTCTGTAAATAAAAGAATAAGCCCCACATCTAGCTAGCTTCTGTAAATAAAAGAACAAGTCCCACATCCAGCTAGCTTCTGTAAATAAAAGAATAAGCCCCACATCCAGATAGCTTCTGTAAATGAAAGAATAAGCCCCACATGTAGCTAGTTTCTGTAAATGAAAGAATAAGCCTGACATCCCTTAGAAATATCCCTTACTGAACAGAAGAAAAGGTTACTTGTTTAAGCAAAACTATTACAAAATGTATTAAAGTACCTATGATACTGTTACAGGTTACTTCATGGATGATGATACAGGCCTACCTGTGAAGGGATCCTGGTGGAAATATCTGTATGCCACTATTGTACTGGTCCTATGTCTGCTAGTTTGTTTGGTGGGTGGATCCATGTTTGCTAAAACTCTGGCAGTCATTCTTGGGGTAGGTATTTCAATATTTTTATTATCTTGTCTTTGAACTTAAGGTTGCACAAAATAAATGTATGTTTCTGTTTCATCGGAATGTATAACTCCAAATGTTTGCCAGTCTTTACTTTATTTCGCAATGATACAATTTTTTTTATCCATTTGAATGGTATGATTTAAAATTGCTGTTTCGTTAGCATACTGTATAAGTGGTTCCCACCTAACTAGAGGTTTACTGGTACGAGACCCAGGTAATCCTCGCATGTATCAGTGCTATACACTGGGCATGTAAAAGAACCAAGGAATCTATTCAATGTGCTAGGGACTTGTTCAAGGATTCCCTTGTATCTCATAGCTGTCTCTAGAGGCTGCTGAGGTAAGGACCCTACTGGAAATAAGTGCTTGCACTTTCGTAGGTTATCCTTGACCGCCCGGTCTAAAGAAAATCAATCAATCAATGGTCAAGTTTGTGATGTGGAAATATTGGGGAATTTCCCGAATTGACGAAAATTGCTAAATTTCCTCTAGCATAAATATCAACCATCCTGTCATGAAATTCTACCCTTGAATAATCCGCCAATATTTTCTCATGCAAAATGTCTGGAATATTAAATTCACGAACTTTTTTACACATGAAATATCCACTTATACAGTACTTTTCAGCAAAAAACAACACACAATCTGCAAACTGGCCTTGTATAAAATTTTGTGCTCAAATTTTTAGCTCCAACTTAAAGAAAAGAAGGCGGAGCTATTGATTATGACCTACTGGGCAGCTTGGCATCGATTAACCTTGATGATTTCTTTTTACTAAAAGTCAAGGTCACTGGTCCCTGCTATAGCACAACTTAAATTGATGATGAAACCAAAGTGTAGTTTAATCAAGCACTGAGAAAATTTGCGTGCTCTTCTTTTTGGACAGCTTTTGTTTGAGTGAGACTAAAAAAAAATGTTAGATCACCAGACTAAATACCGTATTCCGATGTATAACGGACAAAGCGCTTGAATGCTAAATGCTAAAATCTTGCCTTTTCATCCAATGGAATGAACTTTAAAACATGAAATTCATCTCTTCACACTGATTTATATAATGATAATGAATGAAAAAAGTAAAAATCAGTGAAAAAAAAGCGATATTTTTCTGCTCCAACACTGTAGTGAATTATATCCCTGATAAACCTAACTTGATAATGGACTGTTCCAAATTCAAAGTAGGACAAGTCCATTATGTAAATTTATTGATTGATTTATTGGGATAATTATGTAAATTTTCAGATAACAGTGATATGTACATTGATGGTAATTATCAGTATATTTGGCCAGAATCATACTATAGCAGTTGAAGTGCCGAAAGCAAATCATTTAGCACACCATAGACATGAAAACGAAACAATTAATGGAACTCTTACATTTGACTACACGGGTCTTACTGCCAAGACATTCAGGGATAATTTATATTGTAAGTATATATTTTGTCACCTTAGAGCAATAATTGGTTAACTACTTTTAAATTACATAAAGTGTTAACGTGTTACTGCACTAAGGGGCCGATTTATCTTAATATGTGTACATGAAGTTTGCTTTATCCTTTACAATCTTTAGCCCATATATTCGAAGAATGTGGAGAGTTATTGTACTCGCCTATGGCTCAGTATCGGCGCCACACTTAGGATAAATTTTTGCATTGATTGTAAGTTGGTTTCCCCAAAAGCACGGAAGCGAATGGGTTGAAAATTCACACACTTCACATGCACTTATTTGGGAGGATTTGTTTTTGTGTATTCTTTTCACCAAGAACTGTGCATCACAGCTTGACAGACTATTTATAATATAATTTGTTTCATATAAAGAAAATATACAATGGTTATACATTAACATGTATTAGGTCATTAAAAACAAATGATATCATAAGTTGTGATGAAGTAATTTACGTTTTATTACAGCAAGCTACGAGAGAGACTATAGCACATGTAGTGATGAGAAATCTAAAGAAGGTCCTTGTACCGTGATGAGCTTTGCTACAGTGTTTGCTATATTGTTCAGCAGTGTTACAGGAATTATGAACGGGGCGAATATGTCGGGTAAATTAAGTTAGCTAACTATAAATAGATATATATTTTGGTGGATTTAGTTGAAACATTTGGTGATTCATTTTGGCTGATATGTGATGAAATCTTTATAACTTATTAACTTAACCAGTACTAGTGTTGTATTAAAGATCTTTAATGCTTTTAATGATCATTTTCATTGGCTTTTCGAAAGAAAAGTGAGAACTGTTTTACTCATCCCAACATCAGCGCCACATTTAGGTTAAGTTTTTGCACACACTTAAGTATCTCTAAAAGTCAGCAAAGGAATGGGTTGAAACTTCACACACTTATTTGAGAACATAATAGGAGGTCACTGTCAAAGGCCCATAATTCTGAATTATAGCCCTTGCTTAGTAGCTTGTAGAGTAAGGAAAGCTATTGTACTCGCCCAGGTATCAGGGTCTCTCTTTGGTTAAGTTTTTGCATGTAAGTTGGTATCTCTAAAACCCTCGAAGGGAATGGACTGAAACTTCCCACAAACCAACAAGAAATCAAAATAAATTTGTACCTGCACTTTTAATCAGTAAGTGCAACTAAAATATTGGTACGGTTTACATATGGTTTACTATTTCTGTTTCCATGTTTTCTTGTTGTTTTTTTGCAGGAGAATTGAAGGATCCAAGCAAGTCCATTCCAAAAGGGACATTGGCTGCTGTAGGGTTTACATTTGGTACATATCTAATAGAATCAATCCTCATAGGTGGATCTTGTGATAGGTAAATGAATAGAGCCGCGTCACGACAAAACCAACATAATGGGTTTGCAACCAGCATGGATCCAGACCAGCCTGAGCATCCGTGCAGTCTGATCAGGATCCATGCTGTTCGTTATCAGTTTCTCTACTTGTTATAGGGTTGGTAAGCGAACAGCATGGATCCTGATCAGACTGCGCGGATGCGCAGGCTGGTCTGGATCCATGCTGGTTGCAAACCCATTATGTTGGTTTTGTCGTGACACGGCTCAATACATTTATTATGTAAATGTAGAATTAATTTTAAAATTTGCTTACCACCTCAGATGATCCATCAATAAATGACTTTCGGACTTTGCACTCTTGCTCACCTTCATAATCTTATTCTGTGTACTAGAGGTGGTAACTATATCAAGCCTTTTTACAATTTTATGCCCCATTACTATCAACCACTGAAAATATTAAAGCAGGCTGAACTACTGATAGCTCTTGCTATAAATGCCTATTGGTTTCACGTTTTACAGTTTTGTTATGTGTATTGCATTCCAACTTAAATATTGAAATATGCATTGCAATTCATTGGCTTCTGCAATATCAATCATCAATTGCATTATTTGGAAAAAAAATATTTTGATAATATTTTGTACATAATAGATGAAATTGTGATGCACACCCAAATCACATAGCTGTATTGTATGTAAATGTATAGTTGTCATGTGATAAACTGCCCCCATAGCTGTGAAGAAACACACTGTGAGCGTACTGTAGAGCCCAGTCTTACGACCACCCCATTTTCATGACGAATCTGCTATGACAACAAGATATTTTTATGCCACCGCAGCATCTGCGATGCGGTGGCATATAGCGATTCACCTGTGTGTTTGTGTGTGTGTGTGTGTTATATAGATTATATAGTGAACTTAAAAAATCTTCTTGTGAAAAACCACTAGTCCAATTTCAACCAAACTTGGCAGGATTGTTCCTTGGGTGAAGGGCTTCCAAAGTTGTTCAAAGAATTTCATTCCATGCAGAAATCTGGTTGCCATGGCAACCAAAAGCAATTATAAGAATAAATTTAAAAAATCTTCTTGTAAAGACCCAAAAGGCCTAGAGCTTAGATATTTTGCATAAGGCATTGTCTGGTAGACCTTTAACAAGATTGTTCAAATTATAGCCCTGGGGTTAAAATTGGCCCCGCTCCGGGGGTCATTGATTTTCACTATGTACATATAGTAAAAACTTAAAATACCTTCTTGTAAAAACCCAAAAGGCCTAGAGCTTAGATATTTTGCATAAGGCATCATCTGGTAGACCCTTACCAAGATTGTTCAAATTATAGCCCTTGGGTCAAAATCGGCCCCGCCCCGGGGTCATTGATTTTCGCTATATGTACATATAGTAAAACGTAAAACACATTCTGGTAACGACCCAAAAGGCCTAGAGCTTAGATATTTTGCATAAGGCATTGTCTGGTAGACCTCTACCCAGATTGTTCAAATTATAGCCCGGGGTCAAAATCGGCCCGCCCCAAGGGTCATTGGTTTTCCTTATATGTATATAGTAAAAACTTAAAAAAAATTCTTCTAGCAATTGACAAATGCTAGAGGTTAGATATTTTGCATGAAACATTGTGTTGTAAAACTCTAGCAAGATTGTTCAAATTATATATTTGTGTACACGTAGAAAAAGCAGAAAATAAAACAAATGTTTTCTGAATGGGAGAAAGCTATAGCTTAGATATTTGACTTGAAATGTTGTTTGGTGGACCTGTATCAAGATTGTTATTAAACCCTTGGGTCAAAATTATGCCTTGCCCAAGGGAACAGTGACCTACTTTCTTGTCCTTTGATGTACAGCAATGGCATTTTGACCATGTGCACAGTTTAAGTTGTAAAATTGAACTTTGACCTAGATTTTGATGATGTGACCTACTTTCTTGTCCTTTGATGTACAGCTATGAAATTTGAACCATGCGGTGGCATAGCATTTTTCTCAAATGCAATCTTGTTCACCTTATTTCAATGGTCTTTCTATCTGAAATTGAGACCACCCCGCTGTTTAGATCATTTTTCATAAGTTGGGTTCTACTGTACATATATAGATGCTATGTGATAAACATTCTACAAAAACTGTTTTGCACTCATCACATAGGTGTTATCAATTGCCATCAGGATTTCTAAAGGATGAAGCCATCTTTACATCGAATAGTTATATATGATTTTATTTCATTTTCTCTAGAAAACTTCTGATCAACAACTATATATTCCTGCAAGACATAAATTACTGGCCATATTTTGTTCTGATTGGAATATTTGCTACAACTCTGTCTGCTGCACTGGGCAACCTGATTGGAGCTTCACGTATCTTAGAGGCACTGGCAAAAGATCAACTATTTTGTAAGTGTATATTACATATATGTTGGGTATTTTTGATGGCCATTTATATAACGTAAAAATTACTTGTATAAATTTTAGGTAAAATGTTATGGGGACTCTCTGGCTGATTGAAAAAGGCCACTGACTTTGAACCGCTTGCCCCTCGTCTCTGTAGGTTCAAATCCAATCGAATTTCCCCAAGGGTTTAAATTCTAATTATTTTTTGTAAGAAAGTCGTCAAGCTGGCAAACAGAAGGTTTATGACTTTATTTATGTGCAGGTTGGACATTGATTGCACTTGAAATAATGTTTGTTCTTTATAGGGGGTGTATGATTGTCTTCCACTATCATTAAAAGCTGGAAAATTTCCAAATGACATCAATGTATTATACATTGTTTTTATATTTTAAAAAAAAGAAAAATATTATGTTATGTTTTGTTCTAGGTGCTGCATTTAAAAAACAAGCACATCCACCATCATCAACAATAACAACAAAATATGACTTCTGTATATTTATCTTATTGCAGGGTTTGTACCAAATATTTTATTATTCCAGGGTTTGTACTAAATCCAGCAACAAAAACAACCAGGGGGGGTAATCCATATGTTGCAGTCCTTATTACATGGATTTTAGTGCAAGTAAGTATAATTATAATACTTAAACTAAATTTTCAAATTCTGTTGATTTGAACAGTCAGACATTCTTGATTCTATACATTTGACAACCTTGATTTCAGTACTTTGATAATACCATCCCTTTATGCATTCAAATTCAAAGCAGGATTGAACTAATCTAATCTAAGCTGTATAATCAAATTTTTTTTCTGATGGGTTAAATATTGCCAGTGTCGCAAAATAGAAGATATTAGCAAAAATAAAAAGTAGCTAAATATTCATAGTTTTTGTATGAATTTGATAGAACTGAAAGTATAAATTCATGAAATTATTTAATTTTACCAGGAAGTGTGAAATGCAAAATTTTTTGCCCTGCAGAAATGTCTGATTTTACAAATAACACAATATTCAGGGAGTAAAAATTAGAAATTACACAAAAAAAAAATTAAATCTTCATTATTTTAGCTGGTATTGTTAGTCGGCTCCTTGAATGCCATAGCTCCAGCTACCTCCGTGTTTTTCTTGTTGTCCTACGCCTCAACTAACCTGGCTTGTATGGCATTAGATCTTGCATCGGCCCCAAACTTCAGGTATGTGCTTGAATAATACTATTGATTTTACTGTATGAAATTTTAATAACAATGATTACTGTATCTTTTTTGGAAATTCATAGAAGAATCTTGTATTGTTAACTTTGTCATGTCATTTGACTGTAAAGATATTAATAAAACCTATAAATATAATGTTCAGATAATTCATTGTCAGGAATCAGAAATTATATACAATCTACCTCGAGTAAAGCTAGTATTACATCAGTGTTGAAGGTATCTTACTAAAATTTCGAATTAAAGCAAATTTTTTTTTTCAAATTATGTAGGTATTCACTTTGTTTTCTGTGAAATTTTCATTTAAAATGTTAAGAGTATAGCTTTTAGTCATTTGTAAATCATTTGGAAATTTTATCTGGTCACTTGCAATGATATTTTAATTATTATGATATAAGTTATTCGCTGGTTAGTTATCCAGAAATGCCAAGTTGATGGATAGACAACCCAGCAGACATTTTCACAAAAAATCTTACGATTTATCTTAAGTTTTTCACTTACGATAATCGTAAGTTATATCTTAAGTCATTTTCACAAAGCCACTTGTAAGTTAAAATTTTATCTTAAGATAAAAAATTTACTTACGATAAATCTTACGACAAAAACATCCCTAGCAACGTTCATTTGATAGTGATGTGCATGCTCTATATTTGATTCCGGTTTTAAAATCAAGTAATCAAGAGCTTGAAATATCAATTGAACACAATCAAATTTCAATAAGAACAAAAAAATGATTCAAACTGATATAATTTATATCTTGATTGAAGATAATTATATATATCTAAAAGATTCAGAAAGAAGGTCTACCATGTTATTAATAAATAAAAAGGTACCACTAGTACATGCTGGCAATGAAATCGAACTCACGAATTGTACAAATTATAAGTTTTCAATAATACTATAGTCTACAGTATAGTTCACATTATTTTAAAGTATTCATAACCCTCTCCATCGTGACATCATCAAGTCATGACGTCACAAATGTATATGTTGAAAAATAATTATACCTCAATTTGTGTTATTTATAGCATACTGTTTGCTTAATATTTAGTTGTCCTCCAACTTTTTGTTTGTTTTTATTCAGTTTAAGTAAGAGATACATGATATTTTACCCTTAAGAGAGAAAAAAATACACTTACGAACGGGAAAAACCTATCGTAAAGTTACGACAGATTTTGCACTTAAGATTTTCTTAAGATTTTTTGTGAAAAGGAGATTTATCGTAAGATTTCTCTTACGACAAAAAATTGTCGTAAGATTTTTTGTGAAAATGTCTGCAGATATGTCAGAAAAATAGTTAAAATTCAGCATAAAAACCAAACTAACAAAAATGTAACTTTAGTGCAGTAACAGGTTAACTCCTATTATATTATGTAAGTACTTACCCATAACTGCACTAAAGTGATGAAAAGTACTACTTTTAACCATATATGTTTTGTACAAAAAAAAAATATATTTCAGGCCGACGTTCAAGTACTTCAGTTGGCATACATCATTTTTGGGGTTAATCGGTTCATTGGTCATGTGTTTCCTCATTAGCTCCCTTTACTCCTCCATCGCCATCATTATAATGCTGATTCTTATCATACTGCTACATTTCCGGTCTTTACCGACCCAGTGGGGATCCATCAGTCAGGCACTCATCTTTTCATCAGGTATGTATTTATTTATACTTCTACATTTCCGGTCTCTACCAACCCAGTGGGGATCCATCAGCCAGGCACTTATCTTTTCATCAGGTATGTATTTATTTATACTTCTACATTTCCGGTCTCTACCAACCCAGTGGGGATCCATCAGCCAGGCACTTATCTTTCATCAGGTATGTATTTATTTATACTTCTACATTTCCGGTCTCTACCAACCCAGTGGGGATCCATCAGCCAGGCACTTATCTTTCATCAGGTATGTATTTATTTATACTTCTACATTTCCGGTCTCTACCAACCCAGTGGGGATCCATTCAGCCAGGCACTTATTCTTTCATCAGGTATGTATTTATTTATACTTCTACATTTCCGGTCTCTACCGATCCCAGTGGGATTCCATCAGCCAGGCACTTTATCTTTCATCAGGCATGTATTTATTTATACTTCTACATTTCCGGTCTCTACCGACCCAGTGGGGATCCATCAGCCAGGCACTTATCTTTCATGAGGCATGTATTTATTTATACTTCTACATTTCCGGTCTCTACCGACCCAGTGGGGATCCATCAGTCAGGCACTTATCTTTCATCAGGCAAGTGTTTATTTAAACTCCTACATTTCCGGTCCCTACCGACCCAGTGGGGATACATCAGTCAGGCACTTATCTTTCATCAGGTATGTATTTATTTATACTTCTACATTTCCGGTCCCTACCGACCCAGTGGGGATCCATCAGTCAGGCACTTATCTTTCATCAGGCAAAGTGTTTATTTATACTTCTACATTTCGGGTCTCTACCAACCCAGTGGGGATCCATCAGTCAGGCACTTATCTTTCATCAGGTATGTATTTATTTATACTTCTACATTTCCGGTCTCTACCAACCCAGTGGGGATCCATCAGTCAGGCACTTATCTTTCATCAGGTATGTATTTATTTATACTTCTACATTTCCGGTCTCTACCAACCCAGTGGGGATCCATCAGTCAGGCACTTATCTTTCATGAGGCATGTATTTATTTATACTTCTACATTTCCGGTCCCTACCGACCCAGTGGGGATCAATTAGTCATGCACTTATCTTTCATCAGGCAAGTGTTTATTTATACTCTTACCAGGTACATTTCCAGTCCTTACCGACCCAGTGGGGATCCATCAGTCAAGCACTTATCTTTCATCAGGCAAGTATAAAAATTATGTTTCTTATTGTATTACTACTATACTGGTTGGGGACCACCAAAACCGGACAACCACCAAATCCGGACGGCCCCGAAAATGCTTAATTTAGTATTTTCTTTGTTCAGTGGTTGTCAGTCACATTTTTATCAACAATAAATGCATGTTTCTTCTAAAATTAAGTAAATAAATTTATTTCATTCTCCGTAAATGGTAATATTTTAATGTCTATTTCAAGAATGTTGATGTTGAAATTGGGGGGTCAAGAAAGCAATGCCTGACCTCATATACCAGCTATAATCATTTGCAGAGTAAACAATAGAATATCCAAAACTTCAGCATTTGTTGCTGAAATATTGTATATCATGTTAAAAATCAAATATCAAAACACCCATGCTTTTTTCTGAATTAAATCACGTCATGTACATATCTGTCCGGACACATGGTACTGTAGTGTAGACAATTTAGGTAATTTTGATACCCACCTTGTCAAGCCTCAGATATAAGATTTAATACAATCAGAAATAAACAAACTAGTTTGTTAGTTAGGAGTAGAACCTAGCTGAACTGTGTCAAAAAAGTTTATCTTTAGGTTAAAAATTATGAAACCTGTACGGAAAAATGTTCAAAAAGTGTCCGGTTGATGGTCCTTGACCAGTATTTCTGTTCCATAATGACCGAGTGGGGATGCATTAGGCACGTGTTGTCCCTTTATAATCTATCAGTCAGGCTGTTATCTGAAAATTATATTGCTTATTATATTGCTATATTTCTGGTCTCTAAAGACCAAGTGCTGGTGCTGATATTTCATCAGGCAATTTTTAAAATTATACCACTACACTTCTGTTCGCTTGTGACCCAGTTGCGAATCGTTAACCACCTGTCATTTACTGAAATAATATTGCTAAATAAATGGTCACATTATGATCCAGTGTGGACCCATGAGCATGAGCTTATTTTTGGTAAAGATCTATGCAAAAGTAGTAATCTTTGATGTTGGAAATATCTTTTCAGTCAAATCAATAATTGTCAATGTGACCAGGAGTTTTGATAATTTAAAAAGCACTTGTAGTTAAGTATTGAATATTAATATTGTAAATATAATCTTTAGAAATGCGTCAGTTTGTAAGGGACTGGTTAAGAAAATGATTTTCTTTCTTTCAGGTAAGAAAGTACTTGCTCATGCTAGACATTCGTAAATCCCATGTAAAATATTGGCGTCCACAGATCTTACTAATGGTTGCGAAGGTGAGACAGTCGGCTGAACTAATTGATTTCATAAATGACATCAAGAAAGGAGGTTTGTACATAATAGGACATGTTCGAGTAGGGACTTTAGACGATTATCCAGAGAAAGATCCCTTGCTGGAAGAAAATCCAAAATGGCTGAAGTTGGTGGATAAACTACGCATAAAAGCCTTTGTTGAGTTAACACTGTCTCAGAATGTACGTGACGGTTTTCACCACCTTGTTAGAATGTCCGGTTTAGGTGGCATGAAACCGAACACAGTTTGCCTTGGTTTCTATGACAACAGTCTCCCAACCGATTCATTGACGAATAGGCCAATAAGAAAGAAAGGTTTATTTAAATCGAGGGACACTCAACAGTTTCTAGAAATTGGTGAACAGTTTGGGGGAATTCGAAAAAATGATAAGAAAGATTTAACAGCGAAAGAATACGTAAAAATAATTTCCGATACTCTGAAAATGTCTAAAAACGTCATGCTGTGCCGTCATTTCAATCAGCTGGACAAGGGTGCTCTCTTTAACATGAGGGGGATTCTATACATCGACGTTTGGCCAGTGAACTTTTTCCGTCCCGAGACAGCTAGTTATTTCGATAACACATGCCTTTTCCTGCTGCAGTTAGCCACTGTGATCAACATGGTCCCTGGATGGAAGTCTAAAACGTGTTTACGAGTGTTTCTATTTGTAAACAATAATACTGAGAATTCCACAGTGAAGGAACAAAAATTAGAGACCTATTTAAGACAACTTCGAATCATGGCCAAAATTCAGATAATTTCTTGGGAAAGTATTTCCCAAGAGCTTTTGGGCAGGGATATGTTTGACATTAGCGTGAATTATCCGGAGTCAAGAATGCAGGAATATAAAGAAATGGGCAATGAGTTTGTCAAGGCTGTCAATGAAAAAATCAAATCTAATTCAACCCGCACAGCTCTAACATTCTTATACTTGCCCCTCCCACCTTCAGGAGGCGGGGAGGAGGTGTATATGAGACAACTTGACGAGTTGTCCGACAGTCTACCGCCAACGGTTTTTGTACATGGTTTACATCCGGTTACATCAACTACTCTATGATCTACCGGAAGACTGATCTTGTGTATATGTAGTTATAGAAATAATTTACCGCCAAAGTGCTGTACATCCTGAGTTGATGTATCATTGAAATAACCTCAAAGTGCTGCACAGTGTACATTGGGAGTTCATTTACCATAAAATCCACATTAACTGTTAAAAGATTTTACCGACAGTGTAGTCCTGTCAATTCAATTTCCAAGATTTATTTGTTAATTTATGTGCTAGATATTTATTAATAACAAATAACTGAGCAGGGTTTAAAAAATGTCTTTTGTACACAAAGATGAATAATTATTTCTGCATCCATTCAAAGGATCAAGGGTGTCAATTATCAAAGAATTTGACTCACAACAATTTTGGAGCAGTACCTTTAGATGCAGAAATCATGATCACAAAGTGGAAAAATACTGCAATTTTTGCTGACTCTTACATTTTTATTCATTTTCATAATTATATAAATCAGTGTGTCAAGATGAATTAGACGTCTTACAGTGCGTTTCAGCAACTGAAAATGCAAATGTGATATTTTACATTTAATCATTCAAGCGCATTATCCAGTTTATACAGGAATACAGTATTTAGTGTGGCGCTCCAACACTTATTTTAGTCTCACTCATTATGAAATGTAAACCAAAAACTTAACAGTAACCAGAATAGAATTATTAAGTTTTTCTTAGTAAGCATAAAAATCATAATTTCACAAATTGATACACATTTTATTTTTTTGTTTACTGAATTTCAAATATGCTGTAAATATATCACACATATTCAAGCCAGCTGTTCATTTTTGCTTCAATATAATACTGAAAACTGATAAAAACTTGAAAATTTAGTACTAATTTTTTTCAAGGATTTAACTGTAAAGCAGCACACCTCCAGATTCATGCTAGGTTTTCATGAAAACTGTAAATATTAAAGAAAGTAATTTAGTCAGTGCATACGGCACTTACAATCAAAAAGAGGTTCAAAATATGAAAAAATAGAGCTTACTGCATTAAGCATGCCATAGAAATATGGTGATTAATACATTTTTGTACTGCAAAACCAGTCATTAATGGCACATAACATGTAAATTATTACTTGAATTTTGAATCGTTTTACTTAGTACATTTTTACCAAGTTTGATTTTCTTGAAATAATTTGACTCATCTGGAGGCATGCAGCTCTAATGGAACTGAAAATGTACAGAAAAGACATTATTTACTGCATTAGAGTTTTCATATGGCTTGAAATGTCACATATCAATATGGGTCATTCATGTTAGTTACCAGTCATGAATATTTATGTAGGATTTATTTCCCTTGTTTACAATCAGGGTTTTTGTCAAGTAAAAAAAAATCACTGTTATGAATATGTTACAGTAATCTGGTCCATAATGTAAAGTCTGTGTCATAACTTGTAAAGCTTTGTGAAAGAGGCAATTTGTTTGAAGTGTGCAATATTGTAGTGCTTTCTTGTATTTCATACTCATTCTTCACCCTTTAACCTCCTGATCTTGTGTAATGGATTTGCCCTGCTTTATATTTGGAACAGTCCTTAAGGGATTTCAATATTATCCGTTTGGGTTCCAGCAGGTCAAGGGTTCTATTGTGAAGTCAATCTGTCTGTCATACCTGAAAAATATGTAAATGTAATATTATTTTTTGTGATAAATAAATATACATTTGTGTTCTTTAGTTATAAAAATGTACCATAATTGAATATATTTAACGAGTTGAATATATTATATCATGCAAGCTTCTATATAAATGAATGTACATTTGTATTTGTCAAACATGTCAAATGATATAGTTTTAGTGATAGAACCAATAAAATGAAATATTCATTTTTATCACATACCCGTGCCATTTTTTGCGACATAAAAACGGTATTGGATGGCCTTGCATATATTTTGATGTGACATCATTTGCATTATACAAACATAGTGTAATGACGCTCTAAATTTTAGGGTTACACTATAGGCCCATCATTGAAATATGGTTCTATTTCACTTTAAACACTCCTTATTTTGGGTATGTGATAAAAAGTGAAATATGTTTTTTATATAGTTTGTTGAATATCAATGTTCCTTATTTTTGAAAGCGATCAAATAAAAAATGTGATACATTCTTTTAAGTTTGAAACTTATGTTCATGAAATTCAGATATTCAACATGTATGTGTTTTTATATGAATATTCGTTTCAAGTGAAAAGTGGGTATTTAAAGAAATATTTGTTCGAATGAAACAAAGTGTTGTTTTTTTTCACAGCTTTTTTGATGTATTTTTTGTAGGTTATATTTTGTTAAATATTTGTTAGTGAACTATTGCGTACAGTATGTATAAAAGTCAGTTTGTTTTCATGTACATGTTTCTGTAGATGATGTCTTTGATTCCATGTATGTTTGTTAACATTTTCACTTAGTTGAAGAGTCCATAGACCGGTTGTCTTTTTCTTGCATTTATATAATGTTTTAAGTTTAATATTTAACATTCCTGAAATTAAAATACAGTTTTCAGTACATGATAAATTCTTATTTTGTTAAATTATTCATTTTTTTTGCATAGTTTTTTTTACCAATTTCAACTGAAATTATGTTCATGTAATATAGATTTTGACCTTGAAAATTGCAATAATCATGATATTAACTGGTGCAAGGAGGTAAAAATATTAACTGATGCATGAGAAGGTAATTATATTAACTAATGTATTAGGATGTAATAATATTTACTGATGCATTAGGAGGTAATAATATTTACTGATGCATTAGGTGGTAATAATATTTACTGATGCATTAGGAAGTAATAATAATTACTGATGCATTAAGAGGTTATAATATTTACTGATGCATTAGGAGGTAAAAATATTAACTGATGCATTAGGAGGTAATAATATTAACTGGTGCATTAGGAAGTAATAATATTTACTGATGCATTAAGAGGTAATAATATTTACTGATGCATTAGGAGGTAAAAATATTAACTGATGCATTAGGAGGTACTAATATTAACTTATGAATTAGTTGGTTATAATATTAACTGATGCATTAGTTGGTAATAATATTAAATGGTGCATTAGGAGGTAATAATATTAATTGATGCATAAGGACAGGAGATATTATATTTACTGGTGCATTAGAAGATAATATTATGATATTGACTGGTCATTAGGAGATAATATTTGAGATAATGATTTTATCTTTCGCATTAGGAGATACTATTAAAAGGTAATATCACTAGGAGATAAGAATAGGAGATAATGAATTAACTGGTGCTTTAGAAAATAATATTTGAGATCACAGTAACTGATGTATTAGGAGATAATCTTAAATATAGTAACTGGTGCAATAGGAGGAACATTTAAAATGATATAAAGTCATGTATAATGAGAAAAAATTTGAGATAATGAAATTAGCTAATGCATTAGAAGATGTTTGAGATAATATGAAGTAGTGCATTATGAGATGATATTTAACTGATCTCATTACATAATTTTTGAGATAATAGATATGAAGGTAAAAATTATTATTATATAAATTATGTGATATGTAAGTGTTATCTTTTACTGTTAACCTTAGTGCAATTCTGTGGCTTTTCTCAAGATAGGGACCATATTATTTTTTTTCTGATACATTATATACATGTATATTGATATCTTGTACATAGTTATGTAATTATTATATGTCATTTATATTATTAAATTACTTTACTTACATAAAAGCCTCCTCGCTTAAACATATTTTGTTTATATTTTGACACTACACACCCGCCCAACCCCCACTTATCAAACCATTTTTTACTGGTTATTGACAAGTGATCTAGCAATCTTTAAATGCGGGTGGTGGTTTTGTTGGTTGTTTTCACTCCAGATCACAGGTGTAAGCCAAATTAAATTTTCCAGAGCACAGTTCAGCCACTGCATTGTTCCTGGACAGGCTGTCAAGCAGTTTACCAATACTAGTTGCCTTCACTTTCACAATGATCTGAAACTTCTGTACATACCAGAGCATAAGTACAGTGCGAATGACCGTAGAAAAGATTTCATGATCAATCGCAACGAAAGTGGCCTGCGCCATTTTGGAATTAAAACCTGGTCGCCCGATTCAGTCAAACACTCTACCTATTGAGCTAACTGGACGACTATTTTAAATGTAGCAATCTGTTAAATAAATTTATAAAGAAACTGTTAATTTCATGTCAAAATGATTTATAAATATGACCTGCCAGCTGTTCTGCCTGTCTTACACTTGTCCACTTGGGTAGATGTTTGTGTTGGTATAAATGAAAATAAATTTAAATTATACCCCAACCTGGCACATTGACTGTACTTGACTGGTCAGTCTTGAGCTCGAGTCTATTATGAAGAAGCTGCTTACGTCTTTAATGGATTATTGTAGGACAATGCTTAAGACAGCAGATCATACCAATCAGGGCTATGGAGTCCATAGAAGAAGTAGTATGATTCAGCAACAATATTCAGACTAATGTTTTTTTTTTTTGGTTGGTTTTACATTGCACCAACACATTATAGGTCATATGGTGCCTTTCCAGTTTTACTAGTGGAAAAAGACCTCAGGTGCCCATCTGTACATCATTTCAGGCACAAACGGGCACCTAAGTAAAACCATCAACATTCTGTAAAGCTAGCTGGATAGCTTTATCAAATGTGGAATCTGAAGACGCTGCTCGAACCTTCTATGCTGAGAGGAAAGTGGTTTGAAGTAAATGACCTTAACCACCCGACCACAGGCACCCTTAGTAAGTTGTAGGTTTTGCAAAGTGTCTGAAAACCATATATCAAAAACGTCTACATGTAGTTTCAAAGCAATGATAATCTTCATTTATAAATGTGATATTAAGTGAAAAAACCATCAAGTATTATGTCCAGGCAATGTCAAGTATGACTGACCCGTTATTATTGTTCCAGATGGTTTAACTGAAAATTAAGGTAAAACATGTAAAACCTGGCACTAATAAACCTCGGTCAGTAATTCACACATGCTTTGGATTCTGAAGATATTTATGCAAGAATAAAAGTATGCAAACCGTATACAAGAAAGTGATATAAATTCTTGAGTGACATCTGAATGAAAATGAAACTCCACCATTTTGTAAGTAAACTTTAATAAATATATGCAAGTATATCTTATATAACTGTATCACAGTGATGTAGTCAAAATAGCTTAATCATGTACAATTTAGTACTAAAATAATATCTGCAAAATATTGCACACAATAAACAAAAACAAAATATTATGTTCTTAGGCTTTTGGACCTCAGTGGAGCTCATTTATTTTTCCACCATAAATTACTGGCCTAAATAGCCTGAGTCATGTTAATTAAGCATTACTATCACTGCAGTGCAGACCAAGAAATACTCACAAATCCATGCCATCGATCATTTACTGCACTGTTCAGTCAGTGCATAGGGACTATTTTATTATGTTGTATATGTATTTTGAAATTTTCCCCAAAAATGATGAATGGTTTTGACCTGGCAGACAGAAAGATGGACAAGTCGATTTAAGGTATTCAGCATGATTTAAAGAATATTTCATGGAATATGCCACATTTTATGACAATATGATGTAAATTCATAGTCAAACCCAAGACAAATACAGCCGCATAGTAAATGTCCTTTCTCATATCTTAAAACATAAATTGAGCCGCGTCATGACAAAACCAACATAATGGGTTTGCGACCAGCATGGATCTAATCAGCCTGCGCATCCGCGCAGTCTGATCAGGATTCATGCTGTTCTCTTACAAACCGTATAACAAGTAGAGAAACTGATAGCAAACAGCATGGATCGTGATCAGACTGCGCAGATGCGCAGGCTGGTCTGGATCCATGCTGGTCGCAAACCCACTATGTTGGTTTTGTTGTGACGCGGCTCAAACATTATCTTGTGATTTAATATATTCTAATATGTAACCATAGTAAATGGTATACCATTTCTCTGTGAAAATTCAATGCATTCTAATCTGTATCCTCGTATACAATTTTACAGTAAATATTCAACATATCCTAATCTGTATCCTCAGTTAATGGTATACGATTATAAGGTACAGTTATTTGAAACTGAGCGGTAATCTCTTCAATGGTTCTTCCTTTAGTTTCTGGTACTTTAAACAATGTAAATATCCAAAAAATCGCCAGAAATACAACAAATGGTATGAATGAGTATGCTTTTATAGATTCCTGAAAAAGAAAGACAAAATAAGGAAAAAAGGAATATTATATGAGTTTCTTCAATATACTTAAATAGTTATGTAATTATGCTATTATAGTGCATTGTTAGAAGTTTAATGATCTTATTATCACTTTGAATGCAATAACATGATAAATGCACAAATAAAATTCTTGCACCAAGAATATATAGTGCAAAAATTTATCACACTTATTTATTGACTGAAAACGAAGAAATCTTACATGCTATATCAGTTAAATGGTAGAATACAAAACTTTTCCTTATTTTTTATACTGTTTTGCTTTCCAGGAAATTTTCATACAAATGTAGTGTAAACATATGTCAGGATGGGGAAAATAAA